GTATAGGACACATATTGAGGAAATCACCCAACTGCATCACAAGGCAAGCACTCACATGGAATCCTGAAGGCCAAAGGAGAAGAGGAAGATCAAAGAACACATTACGCCGAGAAATAGAGACAGACATGAGTAGAATGAAGAGGAATTGGATAGAACTAGAAAGGAATGCCTAGGACAGAGTGAGTTGGAGTATGCTGGTCGGCGGCCTATGCTCCATTTGTAGTAACAGGCGTAAGTAAATAAGTAAGTCAAGGCAATTGGTAATTATTATTTTACATCACTAAAATAATGGAAGAAAAAAAGTGACTTAACAAGTGACTCAAAAGCAAAAGCTCTACTCGAGTGAACATATTAGGTATCTATAAATAACTTGAATGTTAATCGAAATTCTGCAGCATATTCAAAAATTATTATTATACGAAAATATGATTTTAGAGGTCCTTAAATTTACTCATACTACCTACCAACGGTTGCAAAGTTCATAAAAAACGTAACAGCCGTATAGTTTACTAGATAGTAGCTCAATTTGTCTTATTCTCACCCTGCAATTAAAATGAATGTCTCTCATTTCATGAAACCATTTTGAAGTTAGTCACCTACTCTTAAAAATTTTAAATTAATTCTGCATCTCAAATTGAAGTTTTATAACTGAATACATCGTCCTCACGTTGGCTTACTATAAATATTTCAGCAACAATGAGGAGACCTGGTGCAGAAGGCTAGTAAACATTATATTAACTATAATTGACACGTTCAAAATTAACAGTGTGCATTTCCATTTTAGTGTCCAGAACGTCCGTGTCATTCAGCGAACACTCTCGAACGTGAATAGTCGTCCCATTTTCATTGCACCCACACCTTCCAATAAATACGTTTCCGTTTTTTCCCAAACACTCGATTGTAAAACAATATGTAAACCACCGAATTTCTTCAGTTTTGTCAGTTGTTCTGCCATCGCATATCAGTTATCAGGCAGTTTGGTTACTCATCTCCACAACGTAGTGAATAAATAGTTGTTTCACAGATGTCAACCACTTCTCTTTTTCAAGATGCACTAAATATGTGATAGTATCCATCATCACACTGTCTTCTGATTTCCAGATCTGGATACCAATAAATCGATGAATGGGAAAAGAGGGAGACATACAACATGCAATTGTTTCATGTCTGAAATTCACTCACCTTGAAAGCGTTGTTTAATACGCTTTGTTAGATTTTGTTTGACACGTTCATCACAGTTTACCTAAGGCCTAATTATTGACAGACATTGAACGTTGCACTTCAGCGTTTGGTTCATCCTACTGGTGAGCGTAAATGAATAGGTCAAATGGTCAACTAATATGGTTGTCAAACCCTCACCGATGATCATCTACATCAAATTGGCAGCTGACACAAACATACACATTATTCCGTTCTGATATCAGCGAAACAAGAAGCTCCTCCTTTCTTCAATCTTATCCAGTATCAAGAGAGATCTATTCCTTGGGATTGTGCTTCTTGTGGCCGAGAACCTCCTGACATGTTGAAATGATTGCCTCTTCTATCCCTTTTTAGTTGCTCTCCATAGTAGTACCCTCTCCATTGAGTAGATCAAGAAAGGCCTCGAACCTATTGTTGAGGGTTATCTTGAATTTGCTGAGTTTGTCAGCATCTCGAAGAAAGGCTGTATTAAACCTTTGTAATGTTGTCCGCCCCGTTGTCCAGTGCTTCTTTAGTTTCAATTTCATCTTTGCGACCAGCAAATGATGACTTGGTGCTATATCATCACTTCTGGTTCTCACATCCTCCATCGTCCTCCTGAACTTTTCGTTGATGCAAATATGGTCGATTTGATTCTGTATAGTGTTATCCGGTGAAATTCAAGTGGTTTTGTGCATGTTTTCGTGTGGGAATATAGTTCCGTCTATTACCAATTTTTTGAAGTCACATAGGTTTGCAAATCTCTCACTATTTTCGTTCTTTTCTCTCAGTCCATGTTGTCCCATGACGTCTTCGTAGTCAGTGTTGTCCGTGCCGACCTTGGCATTTAGGTCTCCCATCAGAATGGTCAGGTCCTTTGTTGGGCACTTCTCGAAGATCGAGTGCAACCTATCGTAGAATTGGTCTTTAACGTCTTCATTATAGCCGTTGGTAAGCGAATAGCATTGAATAACGTTCATTTTAATGCCCTCTCTTTTTGTTTTGAAGAAGGCTTTGATGATCCTTGGTCCATGAGATTCCCATCGTATAATTTCATTTTGTGCTTGTTTAGACAGCATCAATGCTAATCCTTGTGTGGCATTTTCTTTCTCAAACATTTGCCTTTACGAATTTCGTATTCATGATGATCACTATCGTTTGTTTATATTTGACGCTTATTCTCACTCATAGCTAATTTTTTTACAAGCCTTATGTTAAGATTTGAAATTCGTCATACGAACCTGAAGTGATTTTGATTTTTAAATCGTTTAACTCCACAAGTATCTGTGCCTCGGTAGTACAACATTAAAATATAAGAGACGTTATTGCCAGTACGATTATTACGACCCTTCACTACTATATTGATGTTCTTATCAAGAATACAACCTCGTCTGTAGAATCCCTAACACGTTCCATCTGTTATTAGTGAATTCACGATCATGATTACCATTTGTAATGAGTGACTTTTGATTCTGGTTTGTTATTTTACTAGGAAAAAATTTTAAAATGATGAAATAAATTCATCATCAGTCTATATGCCTTCCGATCCTAATCGTTTTTTTCTTTCCTGTAACAAAGTATTTTCCGTAAACTATTTGCTGTGCCAGTCACCAATATAATTAAGAGCGCATTCTTGTTCGTAAGAAAATGAGTTTGGAGGTTCATCAAGATTCGGAATATGTTAGTAACTAACACCAATGTGATTTTGAATTATTCAACTGTTTTGTAACCCAACTATTGACTGCTACCCAGAATGTAACTATGCACATCCATTGGTATCAGTATATTTTTCAAGTGCGTATTGAAGCACCAAACTCTTTCAAAATAATTCAGTTAGATAAAACCGTAGGGTAAAAACCCCAGATTGAATATGATGGACAGTCAACACATAGCAACAACAATTGAAGTTTTCACCATTAATAATACCAATAAAATTAAGAGCGCATTCCTGTTCGTAAGAAAACGAGTTTGGAAGTCTGTCGAGATTTGGAATATGTTAGTAACTAACATGTGTAACAGAAACATCTCTACACAACTCAAGTGATGAAAAGTCATATATTTGTGAGAAGATATCAGAAGTAGCATGCATGAAGATTGATTTCGAAATAAGATGTCTGGAATTGTAGACAAAATAATTGAAAACACAGTTCAACTGCTCTCAGCTAGGCCTCATTTGGAAGTTAGCATCAAGTGTGATTAAAATGAATTTACCTGGAGATCAGTGAGGTTGAAAAGTTTCAAGCTCACCCAAAACTAATGAGAACAGTGGGTCCCAATTAATTAACAACGAATATGTTTCACAATAGTTGTTTAATTTTTTCTACTACGTTGTTCGAGATGCGAGCTGGAATTCAGAAGACGAACAGAAGTCCATTTCAATGTTGGCGTTCATCACAGAGTAAGTTTAGTTCAGCCTTGACACATAACAGCAGAACGTTTTTCAAAATGGACTATGAGTTGGTAAATAATAATTGATTTTTCTGGTTGGCAGATAAATTGTGCATAACTAACCATCACTCACTTAAAGTAGTGATACCTAAAGTGTAAAAGCTACTAGAACAAACCATGTGGTAATCAATGCAAGAACTGTTGCCAAATTATGAAGCTAATAACAATTGAAGTGAGATGACTTTGTTTGAAGTCTAATCTTTCTGTTTGATCATGAGTTTTGAATTCATTCCATATTTTTAATTTTACAAATTTACTTCATTTTCTCGAGTTCACGTGTCTACACTGACGACAGATACAATTACAGACTATTCTATTCTTATATAAGACTTGATGAAAATACCTCACTTTGATCGTGTTATGTGGGAACTGGATTTGAAAATGTGTCAAATTTTTCAAATGACATACTGATCAATTATTTTTAATTAGTTCAACTATTGACTTCATCGAAGTCTTCTAATCAATCAGCAATTCTAACTGTTAAATTTCATATTGAAAATGAAACTTATGACCGTTTAACTTATTCCGAAAAGATTGATAATGTTGTCCAGAATTAAATATGATGAATAGTTTTTACTATAGTTGAAAGCGTGAGTCAATTGAAGCTAGACCACCATGGAAAACCTGGAAACACTGGACGGCCGTTTCGTCCTATTATGGGACTCCTCAGCAGTGCGCATCCACGAACCCACTCTCGCGAGCGAGATTCGAACCCAGGACCTACCAGTCTCGAGCCGAAGCCCTTAACCGATAGACCACTGAGCTAGACCACTGAATAGTTTTTGCTTTAACATTGATGGTTTTACGAAAACACATGACTAAATGAAAACTTAAATAATATGTTGAGTGAAATATTTAACATAATTGGCATGCTATGTAAGCTTTTGATTTAACACGTTAATTATATCATAAATGTTTTGTATTTATCACGGATATTAGATGATGTCTAGGGCAAAGTTCATTGACTGAATAGTAAAAACAAAAAAAAACAACAAAACAAAACAACATTTGACTCCGTAAATAGAAATTTATTTATGACAGGCGAATTATAATTAAAATATATTGGGATTAGTTCATGAAATAAGGGGAAACAAAATATTTTCTGTCAGCGTGAACTTATCTAAAAGAGAAAAAAAAACAAACAAACTAGACCCAGAAAAAAAGAAAATATACTTTTGACGAAATGAATTGAGAATAAAACAAGAAAATGCTGAGGAAAAGAAATAAAAAGGCAGAGTAAAAGAAGGCAATCAAGAACAATGGAGTGACACAAGTGCAATAAAAGCATAAAAAAGTATTAAAAGGAGTTAACTTTGTGTCCACAAAACAAGATAAATTTCAAGAATAATGATGAAAATATGAGTTTACCAGATTTATCCATCAGTTTTCTCATTCGTTCCTGGAATATATGTAATAAATGGACAATGGAGACTATGAAGTTGGTCAGGAAATATTTTGCAATAATTTTCACTTCATAAGAGTAATTGATTATTTTTAAAACGAATGTCATTTATTTGAATTGTAAGGTGTGAACACGTCAACTGAAATTATCATCTAATAAACTTTATGACTGCTACATTGTTTGTGATTATTGCAGTGGTTAGTAGTTCATGTGTATGGACCTCAAGGGTCCTCATGTTCTCGGCAAGTCAACCATACTCGTATCAACCACATTACAAGTCGATTCTTTGATCATCTCAAAGTGTTCGCAGTCCATTCGAATGTGTACACTATTTTCAAACGTTGACGAGTTCATGGAGTCAAATTGTTTGTAGGATGCAACAAGACATCTTCCACTGGTCTGGTTACATTCAGTGTGCACAATGAATGCGCGACTGTAATGATGTGTGGATAGTCCAGAAATTCGAAATCCTCTAAAATTGTTATTGTCAATTTTCAAGAAGGTCAAGTAATCGCCCAGTGCCCAAGAGATAGTGACAGTTTTGAAAAAAACATGTATTAAGTTCATGTGTACTTAAATTTACCTGAAGTAGTTGCGTTTCCACGTCTATCCAAATTTCCTGAAATGGCAAGTTAGAAGATAAATGAAATGTACAGAACAGCTTATATATGTGTTTATACTCAAACAGCGAGGATCTATAAATACTAATATCATATTTGTACAGAACATATAAAAAAATGTACGTTTGCAATAATTGATGAAGAGGTATGATTAGTTTCAGAAGCTTTTATAAGAATTCCGAATTGATGAAAAAAGTTTTAATTGCAAGAGGTATTCAAATATGCCTGATTACCTAACAATTGATAAACATATATATACATATATAACATACCGATAACATGCTTTAAATAGTTGATTCTGTCTTCTGTAAATAGAAAAACGAAATTAAGAATGCTAATAAGTATTTACGTTTATTTGTTTCACGGAAAATATCAAATTTTGGAAGTCAAACCAACTGACAGAGGGAAAGCTTTAACTGAAACAATAACGTATAGTGTATCATCGAAAAGTATTTGTCTATTTGTTAACTCAGCTATTATAAACTGTTTGTCATGGTGATAATGAAGCAACGATAATATTCAAAATTCACTGACATGAGGATTTTCATTAGTCGTTTTCTGCTGTGCAGGTTTTCCTAGACGTTTATTCTGTACTACGAGCTCGACTTATTTAAAGCTGAGCAGTTAAAAGTATTCAGTTGTGTATGTGACGTTTATTAGTTTAGAGAGGTATTAATTATAAATATAATAACTTGGAAACAACTTGAAACTGAAAGTAAATAGTTTTGCTAGGTTAACTACTATTGAGTAGGGATATAAATTTTGCATTTGTTACTTGACTGCTTATTGGCGTTGTGTTCTGTGGAAACGATCAGTCGACTTCGATTGCAAATACTAGTAGTTCATGTGGGCCATTACTGCATTTGCACACCGTATATATTTAAATCTTAGTTATTGAATTGTGCAATTTAAGTATGTGGAAACGTGGTTGAACAATCGAAACGAAATTAGTTGTTGAGTTTCTTCAAAGCGTGAGACAAAACTTTCGGTGGGTTATGTGGTTTGATGTGACAACATCATTCCTCTGATAAAGTATTTTTCTCTAAATTTTGTATTTGGAAGCAAATTCAGTTTAGTGAGGCAGTGTTTGATAATCGTGGCCTGACTTGTCAACTTAGGACTTATATCAGGATAATAAAGTAGTTTGCGATCTAAAAAACTTTGAATCACTAGGTACTTCTTGTGTAACACCGTGTTTAGTAATAAATTGGGAAGTTCACAACACCGTAAATTATAAATGTCAAATATTGGTAACACAAACCTCGGGCATCTTTCCTCCGCTTTTCAGCCTTTATAGCTAAATGAAACAAAGTATAAAAGATTGTGTTGTTTTACACAGTTGCTAGAAATCACTTCAAACTAAATGTGAGTATTTTAAAGATTTTACCTCAAAAACGTTCGAAAGTTGTTCGGAAGGAGTTGTGGTTATTTTCGCTGATTCTACATCGTTGTATGCATGTTTTTGCTGCCTAAGTTGTACATTTTATCATCGGATGTTCAATTTGAAAAGTGTTTACCTTCTATCATTTACTCTGAGGTCACATTTGTTACTTTGTTAGTGGAAAGCTGATCGTAAGAGACTAGATAAAAACCATCTTGAAAGGATAGTTGACATCAAGAAAATGGATCCACAAAATGAGCAAATTATGGGTTCCACTGTTGATTCGTACTCTGGATTCTTCATAGTATCCATTTATTTTTGAGATTTGATCTCGTTCAGCATTTGCACTTTATTCGACGACAATTTGACCAACGTAAACTGGGAGAGTACAGTTTGACTCATGATTCATGCTTGTTCGGGTAAATACCTTCCTGTTTGAAAGATCAGTCACAAAATACGCTTGTCACAAGGCATAGTGCGTATTTTTTACATTTTTCTTTCGACAACAGCTCCTTTTCGAATTTCGGGAATTTAGTTTAGTAAACAATATAACATCTTCAATCTGTCAACCATCGGAATTCGAACGGAAAAATCATTGACATAATAGAGTATTTTAGTGTACAGAATGTTGGTGGAACTAACGCTTACCTTCGGCCGTTTCATTGACGAATATGGAAATTCCTATAAAGACATTTAAATGGTAAAAGATATCATACATAGCACAGTTTCAAAACTATATATGTGATCATAAACTTTGTTATTTTCTACTCATGAATAACAGTATTTATTTGCAGTAAATGTGTCTAAATAATTATCCATTATAGAACATATGAGTATTTGTGCAATTGTGTGAATAGATACAGAGGCTTTCAACAAATATCTACATTGTTTTCGGGAACTTGATATATTTAAACATGCCATATCCTTGCTTACTGTGTTTGTAATTATTCTAAGCACACGGAACCAGGTCTTCGATCGTTCATTAATTCATGATACTTGAAAATCACCGAGAATTACTTCTGTCAGTTCATCTTATTTGCTATTGAACTGGTAGTGAAAATTCGTTGTGGGAAAATTAACTAATGTTTTGTTGATGTGAGTAAACACGCGAAAGATACACTCAACAATAACAATTGGATGACTATGCGACGCGTGTAAAACGTATGGGTTTGATCGCCACTTGAATTGTTACTTCATACAGTTAAGGACTGTCAAGCTTTAAAATTACTCATGGTTTTCACCAGATTCCCTAAACAAATCAGTCAATGTTATGGAATGGAATTATCGTTATCTCGTAAGGTGCATATGTTGCATGTATTTAGATCAGCATAGGTAATATAATTCATCATTTACGTGGTATTTGTACATCACTTCTTTTCGATGCATGAGCTAAAGTAGAAAAACAAAAGTAATGCTACTATGCATAGAATGTTCTAACAATATATACATATTGTATGTGTACATGAAAAATAGTCTTTCGATAACTACCGTTTTCATTGCGTGAATCGTCAACGAACGTTTCATGGTTACTTTGTGCAAGAATAAATCGTCAATGAAGTATTTCGTCACATTATTTAGAAAAATTGACTTGAATTAAGAATTAAATTACACAATGTGATTTTTCAAATACTCAATTCATAAGTAAAAATTTTCATTCCAACATTATGTGTTTCCAGGATGTCATGTCGGTCAGTGAAAAAGGATCAGATTGATGAGAAAGATGTGATTTAGCCCAATTTGTCAAATGATATTATTCCAATAAAACAAAGTTACTCAATGAGATAACAAACGAAAAGTAACAAGGCAGAAAAGCTAATAACAGAGTAAATATTAAGTGCTTAGTCCTTATTGTGAGAAAGCACGTAAGAGATACCATTACCTGAAATTCAGGATTCGGATTAAAGTGATCTCATTGTTCATATGGAAGAGTGAAACTGACTCCTAGCACTATTAACTAAGATAATAGTGGTTTTGAAGTTTGTTGAAGAACATTTTCATTTATGTGTTTTTACATATCGATTTATCAGTCTAATAATATTAAATGTGCGTTTTATAGTCACTGAAACGGGTAATCAAAGTGTATGTATGTAGTTGATATATCACTGAGAAACAATATGATTGAACGAACTAGTTTATAGAACATAAACGTTTGAATATTTAACTCCTTCACAGGCGCATAAATTGATCGGATTTTTACCAAATGTAATTGACTTTATATGAAAATATAAGAAAGAGAGAAATCAATGAAATGTCCATTTGAGTATAAATTCTTCATGTTAGTTGAATTCAATTGGCATAAAATAAAATTGGAATAGCGATAATAAATATGAGACGATTATGAAAGAGACGTAGGAGAACAGATAAATATGTTCCAAAAAATAAACTGACTAACCTATCGAATTCAAAATAAACATTCTTCTAAAATCTATAACAACGAAAATAGTTAATGAAACGAGTTTAAGTAAAAAACACACATGAGAATAACCAAAATATGGAAAAAGAATTAGAATGATAGCACATGAAACATAAATAAACTTTCGCCACAGACTATAAAACAGGTAGGAGATATAGAGAATTAGATTGCATATTCAACTCAAGAGCACAAAAAAATAAGGGATAAAATTATTATTGAAAACTTACGTTCGATTTTCGCTCTCTCCTGCCCTAGTTAAATATTAAATGTAGGCAATCAGAGTGAGATCGCATTTATCCACTACATAATTTCAATGTATGTCGGTCAACCAGACATGAATGAAAAGTGAGAACACATATTTGTTAGTTCACACCAAGGATTATTATTTGTTCGATTATCATTTGCAATAATGATTAGGCAGTCAGCTGCTTCCATTTTACATGAGATGCGTGAATAGCTCTCATGGTCGACTGACAGTTGGAGATCAAATAATCAACCTTCAGTCTCAGAAGCGAGCATCTAACCACAAGAGCACTAGGCTGAATTCCGACGATGTATGTGTGTAACTTCAACCAATTTTCAATGGCCTCTGCAAAATGAAATGGGTTCCTGAGTGGTTGTCTTCGTTGATTCGGTGAATTTCATATATGTTGTTTTGTATTCTTGAGCTTGTGGAAACACTTATTTTATTTTGTCGCATTCTTTCCCATGTTGCAGAATAAAACTACTTTGTTCTGCAAAGTTCTATAAGTTTCTAAATTTGTAGGTTCAAACTAACTACAAACATTGAATCATTTTGAATTAAATAAACAATTAGTATTACTTTATTATCTGACTGTGTGATGTGTGCTACTGATGTCCACAGATATAAGTAGTATGAATAATCGATCAAAAGTGGAATGACTAGAGACAGAATGTTGAAAAGATCAGAGCGAAGAGAACGAGAACAGAGAATGATTGATTTGGCAAAGAAAGAACATTGAAATCTGAGACGATTGACTGACATCTTGAAAATGAAGTATTTGCTGTATGATTCTCAAATTTTACTTAGATGTTCTGTAGTTTTGTGTTTCAATACATGTGCTTGTCCCCACATGTGTTCTCGTTCACTACAACTGATGGGAACAATTTAACAGTAAGAAAATTTCAAGCGAATTGACGAAATATTCTTGTCCTTGCCATTTGATTGGTCGTAAATACGAACAATAATTTATTACCAGAAGTTTTACGGTATTCTGTCATACAGTTCATACAAAGTAGTAGATCATGTTCAAAGTGTGTTAGTGAGAATATGACCAAGAAGTTTCATTCATCACTAAGCAGTTAAAAGCACTTTTGCAAAAAAAATCTGTTGAATTTACAGCCTCATTTAATGTTTAGAAAGATTATCAAACAAGTGAATTAGTCAATAACTTCTCTGTTTTCTAATATTTGGTTGCTTAACAAGTATTCAAATATGTAATAGTGTACAAATATTTTTTGGAATGAAGTATGTAAGAACTTAGATCATACATAACAAGCCACAGTGTTTAGAATTTATAAGAATACCAAAATGTAATGTGCTTGGTCGCGGTGACTCTTCGTTGATGTTTATAATTCACTGAACAAACCCTCATTTCTTAAGTTTTATTAGATTATTAAAATAGTTTTCTAGACCTACTTGTTTGAACATTGACATTTCGTTCGTTCTCAGTGTCTAAATGTAAACATGTAACAACGAACGTAATAAAAGTTGCTATATTATGCATTCATGTAACAAAGATATCATTCTCACTTCACATAAAATAACACAAAACTGGTTTCAATGAAGATGCATGTATATAATTGTTCGATCGTTTTATAGAACCTTGTTATCGATTCATAACTACACGATTCAAACCACATTCAGATGATAATGAGCACAGAAAAAATGTTATTTTTATTGAGAATTACTAATTTTGTTGATGAAACTTAGTTTTTAGTTAGAAGTGTTAATCGTAATACCCAAAATGACTATCCAGATACTACATGATCAAACTTCAACACAGAGAATGTAAGGTGATTTCATTATCTGATATGGCTTAAAATATGATAAAAAATCGTGCATTCAATGAAAAAACAATGTAGTGAAAAACGGTTAACAACTGATTGCATTTACAATCACCTATTTTTATTCTGGGTGATATGGAGTGTGTTCTATGTTAGACTAGGTATATTGTTCAGATAATGTTACCTTAGATTAGAAAACATCAAAAGGTTTACGAGACGCCTTCTCGTAAATTATTTTATGGGCGGTAAATAACTGAATTAAACGTCAACTTACTAGCTGAATATTCTGTTTCCGTTGGTTCCGCTTTCACTGAACAAAGAGGAAATGAAAATATTATTGATGGAAAAATCAGTTACACACATTCCATGACGATGTTAGGCGCTTGATTTTACAATGTTAATCTACATAAAATGTAGACGCATTTATCAATAATATGTAATGATCTTTAGATGCTGATGTGTTTTTTTAGTAAATTAGTGAATCTTTGATTTCGAATGAATTAACCTTATGTCAGAAATGTATGTATTCGTTAGCTCACCATTGATAATGAAAATCGCAGCCAAAACATATAAACACCAATGTTTCATTGTTACTAGTGCTTTGTACCAACAGCGTCACCACTTATATAGTTTTGATTCTTTATGCTACGTTTGATGCAGCCAATAATATTTGAATAAATGTGCAAATTATTCACGTGATTACGCTGTTACATCTCTACGGAATAAACGTGGTTATTACTATCGTAGAATGACTACTGATTGGTTTCTGAATGTACACAATTTTTTGTTTATTTTGCGTTGGTGGTGTAAATGATAATTAGGTTTAGTGATATAATTCTATTTCTATCTATCTCTCAGGAATCTTGTTTTCATGTTAAGCATATTGTTCCGAAGAATAATCATCAGACATTTGGTTTAAATTGTAATGTTTGATGTAAGAAGTGAAGTCGATAGACTCATGGTTTTAAGATTTGTAAAGCAATCCTGTCTAAGATATCAAGGACTTTTTCACTATTTACGGTTACACTGCACTTCAAACTGCCACAATGAATGATAATATTATCCACCAAGACCTGCACTTTCAAATCATTATAAGAAGGTTTGTTATGTTTTGTATATCAGATATGCGATTTTAAACTATTTGATCATCGACAATCGAAAAGGTTGTTTGTCAGCTCTAAGGTAGTCTGAACAAATATTCACAAAGCAAACGCTAGATAATTTCATAGAAGTTGATTTAGGGTCAAATCAACACATTCATATAATCTCGACAGTTCAATACTACTCTTAAGATTCACAAGTTGTAATTCCAGGATGTGGATTTGTCAGACTCTGTGTTTGTAGACGTGAGATAATAATCAGTTACTTGGATAGACATCATGTGAATATCTTTTGTGCACAAGGTATGTAGGATAATATTTAATCAGGCTTTTTCAGTTTGTCGCTTACTATTCATTTATAATATTTATAAAATGTTGGAAAGTATATATTTAGTTGTTGTTAAGATTAACATTTAAAAGCTTTGTTTGTTTCTCAAGCTCAATCCACTGCAAGTTTGCTGAGTGATTTGATATTGAAATAGATATATTATGAGAAGCATATGCGTATAAAAGCATAAAAGTCAATCGTCATTGTGATTTTGAAAATAGTCATCGTAGTTTTAAACAAGATTATATCTACAATTTGATATAACTGATAGGATATTCATTTACTTTTGGTTCGCTTCATGCAAACTAAGAGAGAGCGAAAATATAATTAGTTTGCTTTTAAATATGATAATTACTTCTTCTCTAAACGTCGTTGCAATTGAAGGCTTATTGAGAAAAAAAGAAATGATAATGAATAATTTTGACTGCAACAAGGTATGATTTTGTCGTTAAAACACCGATGAAATGATATGAAAGTATCAGTTAATTTCTAAACGGGTTGAATTGTCTCGTTACCGCACGTATATAAACAGATATGAAATATTGTCAAACAGTGCATACTACGAAATGTTGTTGACATAGAACTATAATAGTGACCAGAAGTAAAAATACCTTCACTTGAACTTTTAAACATACAATGTTTCTTGTCCTCGTGGATAAGATTCTCAATTGAAGTTTATGATCATCATAGAACTCCACCTGAAAAGGTTAGACATGAGATCAGAAATGCAATCTGGTAACGGTTAAGCGTGATATGAACTGGGAGAAACGAACGAGAATGATGAAAGATTCTAGAATTCAAGTGCACCCAAAATAGTTGTTATATAAGGCACAAATTGCACTCACCACACAGCGATACACGGGACGTAGCGGTTCATACTATACAGAACCACATCGATCGTGATTACAACAATGAGAATTTAGATGTCAATCAAGGACATGAGAACAAGGAGAGGAGCTGACACAATTTCAGATCACCACATTATGGATGTGAAGATGAAATTTAAAATAAGGAAAAACTGAATAACTACAGAAGCAGAAATAAAAAATTATATTACAGCTCAATGCTTATAACATACATAAAACATAAAATCAACACACAAAGAAATATAATGTCTTAACATCTGGATAACGAAGTCTCGAGGTGGAGAGAAATTTCTTTATTCCTCAAGTCAAATCGTTTTCTATCAAACCGAAACCCTCCAAATATACTCCTAGTATTCAAACCACAAATTGATTACCACTCCAATAATGAAGTTTTAATTCTGCCCTATTGTAAACACTTCAATATTCAAAGAATTAAAAATTTATTCCAAGTCATATTTCTCAATGTTGTTTTCTTTTTAAAAAATTAACTCATCACAATAACCCCAAAAATAATTTGGCTTGTTTTTCTAACAACACAGAATTTTCTTTAAAACAACTATGTCGAAAGGTTTTTCTGTTACCTTCTAATTGTAATAATGATCATTAACAGTTAATTAACTTTGAACTTGATGACACCATATACAATCTTTGTAACATTAACAAAACTAATATAATGTTCAGTTGAAGTGACCTATATCTTGTCATATGATACAGTACAATTAAATAAACTTTGTCTTAAAAAATTAGATTTAAAGTAAATGGAAAAATAATGAGATTTAATTATTAAAGTAGAAGATTCAATACAACAAAAGGATGAATGGAATCATCACACTTAAAATGTGTTCTCTTGAGTATTGAATTCATTAAGAATTAAAACAATTCTTCCTTGAATTTGTAAAACGTCTTATGAAACAGATCTTTGGTTCCTTGAAACAACCCTTGAACATTTCATGTTATAAACGATCAACTGGGTATGAAAGTCATGTGTGTCAGCTCCTTCTCAGAGCGTTTGGAATTCAATGGAAAATGTGTCGAGTCACCTAGACTGTTGTGTGAATACCTATTCAAGAATTTAGTTTGAGCGACAGCAACATGAATAGCCAAGTGGTAACGCCTCTGAATATGAAGCTAAATGACGCGAGATAGATTCCGTCACGAAGAACCAGTTACCTTAAGTTTACAGAGACACTTTGCTGATTAGTGCTAAACTACACGAAACCCAGGCCCATAGATTCCTCTTGACAACGCCAACCATTTTCTTACGAAAAAGTGATTCTGTGTTACAAAACCAAATTGGAGTTAATCTAAGCAGACAGATTGACAAACGAGAAAAGAAGATCATTGAATAATTTCCGCTCCTCATTTGACAAACAGAATAAAATAAGCACTATATAATGAATCATAATCAATTTATTTCTGACTATTCTTTCACAAATATGGATGAAATATATGAGTAGTGAAGTGGCGGCTAGTGTAGCGCACGTTACTGTTTAGTAAACTCTAAACGTTGTCGTAAATGTGTGCACGCGAAATACACACACATTGTTTAAAAGTGTCACTGACCATTATCTCATATCTAACATCGCAAACACAGAAACAGTCACAGCCACAACGTGTGATTACATGTTTTATTCTAAAGACTCAGTCTGAAGTTTCGAGTGTGTTATTTTACCTAACATATCATGCAAAAAATGATTTATTCCAGAATATGTAATGAATGAGTCAACAAGCTGTCGCTCAAACTAAACGTTACCACTAGGCTATTCATGTTGCTGTCGCTCAAACTAAATTCTTGAATAGGTATTCACACAACAGTCTAGGTGACTCGACACATTTTCCATTGAATTCCAAACGCTCTGAGAAGGAGCTGACACACATGACTTTCATACCCAGTTGATCGTTTATAACATGAAATGTTCAAGGGTTGTTTCAAGGAACCAAAGATCTGTTTCATAAGACGTTTTACAAATTCAAGGAAGAATTGTTTTAATTCTTAATGAATTCAATACTCAAGAGAACACATTTTAAGTGTGATGATTCCATTCATCCTTTTGTTGTATTGAATCTTCTACTTTAATAATTAAATCTCATTATTTTTCCATTTACTTTAAATCTAATTTTTTAAGACAAAGTTTATTTAATTGTACTGTATCATATGACAAGATATAGGTCACTTCAACTGAACATTATATTAGTTTTGTTAATGTTACAAAGATTGTATATGGTGTCATCAAGTTCAAAGTTAATTAACTGTTAATGATCATTATTACAATTAGAAGGTAACAGAAAAACCTTTCGACATAGTTGTTTTAAAGAAAATTCTGTGTTGTTAGAAAAACAAGCCAAATTATTTTTGGGGTTATTGTGATGAGTTAATTTTTTAAAAAGAAAACAACATTGAGAAATATGACTTGGAATAAATTTTTAATTCTTTGAATAATGAAGTGTTTACAATAGGGCAGAATTAAAACTTCATTATTGGAGTGGTAATGATGATGATTATGATACTTTGACTTCTATGTCGCAGATAAGGCTTTTTTCATCGCTCCTCCGAGCAGTTCGCCTGATATCGATTGCAGCCTGCAATAGATCTGATATTCATTTTTTTTTTGTTTTTGTTGTTTTTTGGTAAAAACATGTTGAAATAACCCGTGCTGAGAATTCTATATTGCACAAGATTATAATATTGAATAAAGTGAATAATAATCATAATAATAATTCATCGTCATCATTTCTATCACTTGTGAATCCACATAAATGTATGATATTCATTGTGATTATCTTCCGTCTTCGTTAGAAAGATGCTTTGATGATTGTGCGCCCATGAGATTCACATCCTACAAGCGTAGTTGTTGCTTCTTTGGACAGCATCGAGGCACTCTCTGAATGTGTTAAGCGTTTTGTTCTTTTTGAACCGAGTACGACAGAATCTCTTCTGAATCCGTCTCTTCTCATCACGTTTGGTCCAAACGTTTTCACTGATACAGAGCATTGTCATGTTGTATTCCCTTTATACTCCCAGCAATTTGGTTGGTCCACACGGCATCTCACAGTGTGTGACAGTTTCTCCACCTACATTAGTTATTACTTTGTTCATTAAAAAAAAGCATCGGTTTCGTGAAGTCAAAGGAATCACGCTTTCATGAAAATGAATCATAATTCTGCTGAATAAAGGTACACCAAAGTATAGGGCAGAGTTAAAATGATTCAATTTGTTCATTCTCGTTAGTGTAGTTAAGCACGTTTGTTCGTTACTTGATTGGATGGCTGATCTTATGTCCAACCTTCACACAT